TAATAGAGGGGATCTGGCCTAGCCTGTTTCCCATGGCAACCTAATAACCAAGCAGGCACAGGAGATAAATAAATAAATCAATTAATAAACAGTCACGGCCCTTTTAGATCCCTCGGGGCTGTGATATGCTCGCTCTGATCTGCCTAATTTGAGAGAGAGAGAGGTGTGGAGAAGCCAACAAACAAAAATTAAGACTTGATGTCTGCCCTGCCGCGGCATAAAAACCAAAACTTACGAGAAGTGATGCAAGATTTCCCTGTGTAGCTGAGCCCATAGCCTTTGGCAGTGATCGCCGCCCTGGCACAGGTCCTGATCATAAAAAGAATCTGATAACACCGTCGCTGTCACTTTTACCATCATGTAAGATGATTTGTGCATAAATCTTCATGCAAAACACGATTTGTGAACAAACTGACCCCAAGTGGCTCCTCAGTAGCAGACAAACCTCTGAGCGGTCACCATCTAGAAACAGACACCGAAAAGGTCAGCCATCTGCCCCTCTTGTTACCACGCCATTGGACGGAGCCGAGTGTTACGGTGGCGTGTGTGTGTGTGTGTGTGTGTGTGTGTGTGGGTCACGTGCTGAATGTGTGAGATCTAACCTCAGAACAGCATCCATGAGGTGGACACTAACAGGAAACCGGCTACTCTGGGTGCACGTAGGAAGCGGTTCCAGTTAGTCCGCCGCCCCCCTTCCTGCTTATATCAGTGTCCCCACCCGCCCCCGCCCACCTCCACCCACTACCCCACATCTTTAGACGAACGAGGCACTCACTCCCTCCTTCCCTCCCTCCCTCCCTCCCTCCACTCCAGGGACTGCCGTGCCAGGCGGGTGCAGGGTGACAGATGGCATACACCAACCTCCCCCCCTCGCTCTCCCCTCTCCCCCCTACTGCACCAGCCCCCCTGCTCGGCCCCCCCGGTGGCGCAGCGGCGGACCAGATCAGTGCCATTCTGTCTCATTAGAGCCTGGCTAATTAGCGTAGCCTCTTCCAGGGGAGAATGAGCGAGTGAGAGAGAGCGAAAGAGAGAGAAAGAGAGATGGGGAGGGAGGGCGGCGGCGGCGGCGGCGGCGGCGTTCTGTACTCTACTGGTCATTGAGGAGTCGGAGGGCTTTGAGCCCCGCAGTGCGCAGGGCTCCCAGGGTGCTTGTTTTATGACAGCAGGGACTCTGATTCCATCCATTGCACAATTCCTCTCAGGAAGTGTCGGGATGTTTAGACATAAAAGTCATGTCAAAGGAATGCCCCCGATCCGCTCCACCCCACCCTCGGCTAACCTCCCATCGCTCAGCTGAACATTAGCTGCCCTCTCTGCCAGGCTAGCCAGCACAGCGAGCATCCCCTGTTAACACGAATGAAAACAAAGCGCCGCAGCTCGCTAGATAGTGCTCGAGCCCGACTGAGCCAGTTAATAATGTTGACATCAACTCCGGGCTATCCAGATCGTAGCTCGCACCTCTGCAGGCTAAAATGAAATGGGCTGTTTGGCAAATACCGCGACTTCTGGCAGTGTCGTCGCTGGATTCGAACCAGTAGTGAACAGTTGTTTTCTCCAAGTCTGACATCTCCTGAAGCAAAATGGAGATGGAGAATTCTTGGAGCATTCGATCAGTTTGAATCATTGAGGAACGGATCATGAATAATGATCCTGATTGTATCAAAGAGTAAACACAATATCTGTCCTAATAAATCAGAACGGCTGCATGCCTGCTTAAAAAAATATGAATGCTCAGACTTGAAGTGAATAGCGACCATTAATCTGATAAAGTAATACGGCTGGGGTTAGATTCACTGCTCGATGGTTACTACTCTGAATATGTGGCAGTAAAAAAGTGATTGAAATGCAACATTGAATAAGTGTGGAGGGGGGCAGAGGAGGGCTGGCAGAGGCCTGCTGTGGTTACGAGCCCTAAGAGAGGACAGAATGGCTGCGATCCAGAAACCCCCCAAACACACACACACACCAACAGGCACAAACACACACACTCTGGAGTACACAAACACTGATCCACACATTAAATGTGCCCGCACATAAACCCATATTTGATGCACAGAAAAGCACACATGCACAGATCTATATACAGTACACACCTAAGCACACACACGGCACCCATCAGTAAATTTCTGTTTGCAGCGTTTCAGCCCAGCAGACCGCCGCCGCCTGTGACCTCCTTCAGGTCCACCTCTCCTCTTTGATTTTCAGCTCTCTTCTCCTCGTCCCGGCTGCATCGTCGGCAAACACGGCGTGCACAAACAGACTGAGGAACACTGCATGGTGCGCACCGACGCCCACACAGGACTGATACCAACAGATCCTCGTCACCTGATCCTGTGCTTGCGTAAGCATGCTGGGAAATCCTAAGCTGAGTTGAAGAGGCAGAGTTTGAACTGCACACCAAGCTGACAGGACAGTGCCAGCTCCAGTGATGAGACCTCGTCCTCCCCCTTCCCCTCCCCCCCGTGATTATTTCCCTGGACCCCATATGGGCATCCTGCCAGTCTAGCCCATCCTCCATCCTCATCACCAACCACATCCACGCTGCACTCCCAAGCTCAGTACCAGCAGTCTCTGCTGGCATGGCGCTCTACCCAAGGCTTGGATGGTTATTTTTTGCCTGCTAGGCTGCAAACCTCTCTTGACCTAAGCTTTAGTGAAGATGCTGAACATTGCACATAAATTCGTCTTGCATTTCCTCTCACTGCTTCGCTTTATGCTACGCTCATGAATATTTAATGCAACGACAACACCCGATATCAGAGAAAGAAAAATGTCTGTTTTTGGAATAACTAAAAGGCAGAGATGAGCAGCTAACCTGGGCAGTAACATGTAACCAGGCTACACAGACAGTCACTGAGCTTCCACATGTATGAGCTACAGGAGAAACTCCCACAATAGGTGAAGCTGAGTCTTTATTTTGGAAATGCTTTTTTTTTATTTCTGGCTGTTTTTATAATAAAACTCGTGAATAGTTTGAACAGAGGCTGTCCAGGTCTGTTTTACTCATAATCAGTTAATTCATAATTTTATTTTCTTGATGGTTTTGAAAATGTCAGAAAACTGTAAAAATGCCCAAAATAATCTTCACATCCTCCTAATTTCTTCTCTGTTTTTTTGTCCAATTAATAGACCAAAACACTTTTATATTACATGAACAATTATGTAAAACAGAGAAAAGCACAACTGCTCACATTCAAGGAGCTGAAACCAGCAAATAATCTGTATTTTGTGTCACAGAGAAGCTAAAACGATTGATTAGCGAATTGATTATTTGACGTGTCATCGCTGCTCTAGAACGATTTACACATCGACTGTGTGGAAGCAACAAAACGCACAACATGGAAGAAGAAGACTTCTCATTCCCACCGACACGGATTCAGGGAAGCAAAAGAAATGAGAAAGTGTTTGTCTAAAGCATGAAACTAAAACTACAATCTTGTCCCACTTTAAATAGGAAAGAAATCCAGGATTTCAGAGGATTTTTGTGTGAACTGCGAGTGGAAACTGGGTCCTAGCTTCTGATTGTAAAGGTTGAGGGGTGCTGCTGGGGAGGAGCAGCCGCTGGCCTGGCGGTGCTGGTAGCTGTGGCAATGCCGGCTGGGTAGTAAGGGGGGAGACCAGCTGCCCGGGGAGCACCCATTACGAGATAGAGCCAGAGATAAGTGCTCTCCCAGGCCCCTTTTCAGAGGCATAATTAGCACACTTCTTATCTGCTGCTCAATTCACATTCACACCCGCCTGCCATGAATGGAACGTGAAAGAGAGGCAGAAATCAGGGGAACGGGAGAGGTAGAGGGGCAAGACAGCGAGATGGGAGGGAGGTGGAGGAGGCACGCTGGAAACCTGTTCCCAGACAAACCGTCATTTGAGAAGAGAGAGACAGGAGCGAGTTAATGCTGCGACTGCCTCGCTCGCCCCCTTTCTCTTTCTCCATCCTTCCAAGGAGTCTTTGAACTCCTTAACAAAAACAGTGGTTTGTGCATCAAACTGCAATTTGGTAAAACAAAGCTATCTGGGGGTATAATCATCCTAATCAGCAAGAAAAAAATAAAGCCTTTGCAGATATTTCAAGATTATTCCGCCCTTGGTGATCTATTTCTCCCCCCATCTTCTTCATCAAGCACAATTGTGGAAATCTTTCCAACTCTGGCTGAGACAGACACATGAAAACCTTTAATAATAAGTCCTTAGTGCTACATTTTTTAATTGCTTTAATAAAGAGTTAAACTGGTGGTATGTTTCCTCCTTTATTTCTCTGTTTCCAACACACAGGCTGGCATTGTGTGAGCTCCGTGCTCTTTGTGAGAAGATGACAGGGCCCCCCATCATATTACTGCGTGGATCTAATATAAACAGGTTTGTTTGGTGTTGAAACAGTGTCGACTGCTAAACTCCAAACCCCACAATAAAGAAGACATGTGTCATTATGTCTATAAATCACTGCAGCGCCGCACAGAAGCCACTTCTGTTAGACAGACCTCTTTCAACCTAAACTTTTGCGTACGTTGGCGTCGTGTAGCGCTGACAGAGTTTAAATCTTTATATGAAGTGTGTGTTTTACGCGTCTGTCGGAGGTTCATGAAATGCTCCTCAGGTCAAGGATTAGCTTATTTGGACACAAACACGCCTGTCTCAAAGCTAAAAGATCCTCATTCTCTCGCTTTAAATTAAAAGTCATCCTTATTTGTATTTTTCTCTTTGTGTGTGGACACTCTGAGCAATTATATACACAAGTCTGGAATTTCAGGTCTGGCTATACGACACATGAACAACGCTCTGACGGGTCCTTTATAAAGCAAGAAAAAAAATCAAGTGGAACTGAATGAATAAAGATCATTTTTGAAGCAAAAATTTAAAAAAAAAAAAATCATGTTTTGTGACTGAAGTTTAAACCAAAAAAAAAAAAAAAAGACAATTACTGTAACACTGCCGTAAACAGTAAACGACAAACTAGCGACCTGTTTCCATCCAGGTGTGTGTTTCGGTGTGTGATTCGGTACCTGGCTCTTGGAGGCGGCCACCTTGGCGAACAGGGCCTGGGAAACTTTGGCCCGCTTCATCTCCTGCTGGATCTCATCGTAGATGGTGGAGTTGATGTTGAGGATGCAGCTCTCCGTCTTGCCGTTCCACTCGCTGGGCAGAGGCGACGGCTTCACCTGTTAAACATTCAGAAAAAAATGAATTCACAGGCCGTCGCAGTGTCATTTAAACCTATAGAATTACTTTTGTGTTTGATCTTGGCGTGTTGATGGACTGGGGAGCTCTGCTCTACCCGACAACTGGTCGACTGAACATCAGTGTTGTGTGACTGAGCTGTGATTTTGGCTTAAATTCGGCTGAAACGCCTTCAATAAAAATATTAGCCTTACACTTGAAAGACAAATTGACATGTTGCTCCCGTTACCGCTTCGTGCTTCATAAACATGTAAATACTGAAATAACAACGAGCCGCATGTTGGGAGACGCTGGAGTGTGTGTTGTTTATGAGCACGTATTTGTTCAGATTGTCAGTGTTGGCGTTGCGGAGGTGAGGGGGTGAAGTTGTTTGCTCACAGGTGAAATGCCCACGGGGATACGGGGATTCCAATCCTCGGGCCGTACGCTGTTGCAGTCTTCCCTCCGGGGCTGCAGAACACAACACAACCGTATTTATTCAGGCTCACACGAGGAAAAATAAAGAGAATCTGTCTAAACACAAGCACACACACACACACCGGAGTGTAGATTACACCCACACACAGCGCTGGCGTTACTTTGCTCAAAAACACTTAGATGTGTTGTGTGAAATGTTATTATTCTTATGTCAAGCTGGTGATTAAAAAATAAATGCAAGTCAAGTGAAATCAAATCATCTTCATTCAGCGGCTTGTTGCATCTTGACAAAAATCCTTTGACAAGGTAACAAGTATCCTAATAAAAGCATTACCCAAGAACCATTAGCATATGAATCATTCTATACGAGTCTTTCTGAAAGGAGGCATCGACGGGGCTGGGTACGAGTACCAGTAAATGGCATTCAAATAAACCATAATAACACCAACAGCTACCAACTCGTGACAGAGCCCGTGATTAAAGAACATATATATTCAAGTATTTGTCTAGACGCCTAATACGAGCGCCTCTATGCGTTAAAAACAATCACATGATCCCGAAACTTGCGGTGAAACTGGAATGTCTGCGCATTTCAGGGCCTTTCATCCTGTTTTATGACAGCTCGACATGGGCTTGTCAGTCTGAGCAGTAGGATACCGTGTCAAGCAAATTGTTAAGGCCGGGACGTGCACTAACTGGCTTTGGGGGAGTTGAGTCGACCCATCAGCACACGTGAGAGAAACATACCTCTGCATCTGTTTTTATGAGGCCAATAAAAACCCTCCTCTGTCTCTGGCTCAATTGCCACCCTGGCTGATTTATGTGCTTAAATTCACACCGCATTGCTCCATAGGAGAGGTTGGCAGATGGCCAGGTGTATGAGTGTGCAAATGTGTGTGTTTGTCAGTGTGTGTGTGTGTGTGTGTGTGAGAACTGCCTTGTGAAGGAACAGGTCTATATGATAAATGTCAATGGGTTTAAGTCATACAGGTGAAGTATATTAGGCCTCAAGATATTGCACTGATGTGCCAACAGTATTCTGAGTGATGGGAAAATAAAAATCACAAACCAGCGGCTTTGGATTTCGTCTGCCATGTTGTTCATTGCCTTTATTGTTCACCTTGCAAATCTATTCCTGTTTTGTTATTTCTGTGGTGTTGTGTAGCTCCACGGCTCTGGAAGCTGATGTCAGATACACTAAAAAGCCTTTGTTACATTAAACAAATTATTGACTTCACCTAAAAACCTAAAAAGTAAGAGAGGTCCAAACCCCTCGCTCGGTTCCGGGGGTGCCGATGAAAACCCCATTCAGCCTAAATAGTTTTTACCTTTTCGCTTCAATACGTTCTCGTACAAAGATCCACTCTCCTGCTCTGAGCCTGTCCTGCACTGACACAGCCTCTGATTGTAAAGATGAGCTGTGAACTGCGAAGTGGTCCTGGTTCAGTTCAGCACGGCTGCTTCAGAATGCCACTCTCTCTTTCTCTTTGTGGCTTTGTGCGGATGGCGACTGCCACCGTGCTGGGCAGTTTGAGGGGGAGTCTCGATTTTAGAGATGGGTGGGCCTGTGCTTTGCTCCTCACCTAAATAAAAGCCAAATCTTCGCTGAGGACAGGACAGAGGACGCCTTTGTCTGGCCCTCTCACCTCCCAGATGCAGCTGACCGCACTTCAAATGGGCTTAAGTGGTAGAAAGTTGCCACATACCTTTCAAATGAGGGACACTGATTTGCGGCGAGGGTACAAAGTTGCGCTGTGGTATGCAGCGATTTTGAAAGAGGCACTGACTAAACGATGTTTGATCTTTCGCAGAGCTTGTCATCACTGAGTGAGCTTTATTTTTGAAATGGGAGGGCTGTTAATGCTGCCTAATGCATGGTAAAAGGTCAAAATTAGCACAAAAAATTATCCATCATTTGTGCACCATTCTCACCTGTGTGGTGAGGGCGGGGATGATGCAGAACTCATTTACATGCAGGAAGAATGTAAACTATGTTCTCTGGCGTTCGCACCGACGGGGTGAATCAGCTTTTATTTGTTCCACGTGTTTCTAGACAGGTTGCAGCCTGATACAATGGACGGGAATGTGAGGCGTGTAGATGAACAATGGGCTGAGCTTGTATGAACGCGGGCTGTGGTCACGTATGAAACACAGCGTCCTCATGGCTGCAGGAAGTGTGACACTGTGGAGACACTTTTTACGCTGATAGATTTAATCATGTGAATAAAACACACGAGGATGTTTTGTTGAAGCGCTCTGCACGGTATGTGACGGCTACGCTCGTGTCATTAGGTTTATTACACAAGTCTACATTCAATCGATGACACCACAACAAAGAGAGACGGAGAATTCCAGCTCTATAAAATCACCTGCTGTCACACCTGCAAATACTTTGTCATCGCCGACTACATGTAAACACATTCTCACAATACCGGCGATCTGCGGCTCACACATACAGCCTGTTGTTATATATGAATGTGTCACGTTTCAAAACCAGAGCTGTGCTTCTGCTCCGGTTGAAAGTTCCCTCGTCAGCTACAGGAACTGATAGTTTTGTGCCACAGTGTTCCAGCGTGGTGCAGAAAGTCTTGTTAAATACAGATTTTGCTGCTGGAAGGGGGAAACGATCTCATTAGCACTCGGTGGGCGGAGCCAACAACAAAGCTAACTGGAAAAACTGAATAGCTTAAAATTGCAAAAGAGGTTTATTTAGCACTGCAATAACAATCTGTGTTTGGTTGGTTAAACGGACTCGATTCCTGCTCCCCAGACTGCTCATACAAGCACTAATAGACGTGCGCAGGCTTACGAGCTAGAAGGCAACATCTGGGCCGTAGGGAGGCTGCAGGAAGTGAGATTGGACTTTTTGGATCGGGCTTTGTGTGTCACGTCTTCACCTCTGATATTGTTTCTTGATAGTGGAACAAATGCTAATCTTGATCTAGAGAAGCAGTTCCATTTCAGGTCTCTTTTAGAAAGCAAACAAAAGGATGTAAACATGATTGAATCCTTTAAACTCCACTGCAGTGTCTGACACATGCAGCCAGTGTTGTGATCGACTGGTCAAATCAGTTTATCTGCTGTCCAGCATAAAGTATAAATCGGCCGTTATTCTTGGATTTCTCAACTTGAAAGTGACAAACCTGCACAATCAGTGTCTAAGGTTCAACGCTTTCAGATGTCAGTACAGTTTATTCCTCTATCTATAACAACACCAGGCTGCCACACAAACACACACACAGCCGCACAAAGTACCTGCACAGGTCGGCTGGGCGGGGTGCTGATGAGCGGAGCCGAGCCCATGGCAGAGGCTGCTGTGAGGCTGCGCTCCCTCTCCTCCTGATAGATGCGATCGCGCTCGGCCTCCGGCAGCTGCAGGAAGTTCTGCATGGCACGCAGGTTGACCAGCAGCGACTGGGATGCTGTCTTGGGGTCTTCCTCCTTACGGAGAATCTCAGACAGTAAGCCCTGCACGATTAAACCACACATAGTAAGAAAAGATGGAGAGGAGGCGATGGGGCAGGAGAGGGGAAAAAAAAAAAAAACAGCAAAAAAAGAATGAAAGAGAAAGACAGGAGCTTCCAGGGAGGGAAGTAATTGGGTGGCGGGGGTCAAGGTGGCAACCAACATGGAGAATAATCACATTAGAGGATTCTTAAATAAGACAGGAAAGTGTAAATGGAGACTCTAATGACAATGGAGATGTGACGCTCTTACACCCACTTAAACTGTAAACTAATATTGCCTTTTAGGGACTCGGCAGCGTTTCTGTAGAGCCGGAGTCACAGGCAGATCCTGTGCATCTACTTTTCTTTTGTGACTCCGCTGATTATTCGAGTGTCTCCACCTCTCAGAGACTTGGTTTTCTCTGCAGACAGCAGTCATTTTGTACCGTTCATTATTAATGCTATGAAATCATCCCATCAAAGAAGACCTCACATTGTTTTTTCTTGACTCTCTACAGAGCTTTAGTCTTGAAGTTAAAGAAGCTTGCTGTGTTCTGTGAGTCTGCAGCACCTCACCACAGATCAGTCGATCACTGAGACTTCTGCGAGGCCTTTGAACCCATCGCACTCGGCTGCGTGAAATTTTTGCACATCTTGGACGTATTCTTGAGCTGCTTCGGATAAGAGCCGCAGCTACTCGCCTGAAACGTCTTGTCTTGTTCGGCGGGCAATCAGTGTATCCTCTGTTTACTTTTCAATAGCGCTCAATTCCATCATTATGAGACAGCGATGACTCCATTATCAGAGACGTGTGATTGGGCCTTTTCATCAGCTCTTGGCCACACACTGAGCAAACCATCGCGGCGCTTCTCTCACCATCAATAGGTGTGATTTGGTAATAAAACAAGGTGATGGGGAAAACATGCTTATGCTTTTAGTTTTTATTTTTTGAGCATTTAAGCCCTCTTGGGCTACAGATCAGCACTGCAGCGTGTGCCTGGTGCTGTTGTTGTCTCACTAGGTGCATGTATGCAGCTATACGTTTCATGTGGTGGCATTTAGACAAGTGGGAACCACGGCAGATATTTTTAGTCGTCATATAGACTGTGTTGTAATATATACAAGTTTCCTGGGACAGATTAGTGGTATATCTCCTTCACGTTTGAACCGTGTGTGTTTGCATTCTTCAGCGTGTGCACGCTATCGCTCTGTGCCATCAACCCGGCCGTCTATCTCTTTGGTCAATCAGTTTCCTCTCCCATAAAAACAGCGACCTCAGCTGCTCCTCCCCTCCGTCTCCTCTGATCCATCTCCTGCATCGACAGCAGCCCCTTCATGTCACTGCTCGACACCCCTCCCCCCTCTTTTTATTAACACTGGCTGGTGGAAAAAACAGAAACCTAATAAATAATCCTCCAAAGGCAAACTCTCCAACGGCACATTGGGCTAATTCCTCATATCAGCCACAGATAAGACTGTGTTTGTGTGGGAGCATGCCAATCTGCAGAAAAACATCACTGTCTGACTCCACCATGGATCACGTTTATGTTGTTTTGTGGGGGGCTGCATGCTGTAATTCTCATAGATTCTAATCAGTTTCTATTTTTTTTCCTTTTTCATACACGGCAACTTCAAAGCAAATGGAGTAGTAATGAGGTTTGGTATCACCCTTCAGTATAGACAGTAGGTCTTAAGACATTAACACTGCCATCTGTGTGTGTGTGTGTGTGTGTGTGTGTGTGTGTGCTAGGCCTCTGACTATGAAGGGAAATCACATATTCTGGCAGGGAGAGAACGGATGCCATGACCGAACCTGGGTCTTTCACGTGGCAGGCTGCCAGCTGTCTCAGAGTACAGTAGAGGTGCTCGATTACTGGCGTGCACGAGAATCATGAATGAGATATAAGCTGCAGATTCAAACAGGAAGCTGTTCTTAACGTTTCTTAGCAAAAGAGATCCCATGAAACCGTTTTACGACTTCCTTAATGTGATGTAATTCTTTTTCAAACAGGATGCTGGTGCAGAATCTGAGACAGCGAGTGATGTGCTGAGCGAGTTCTGGAGAGATGGGCAGCGTGATGTCAGACGGGGAAATGCTGAGAAAGATCATTAAAATTTTAAATGAGTAAATTCCTAAATTTTTCAGAGGTGACCATCAGTAAACTAAATTATATTCCATTTGTTAATAAGTTTGATTCATACTGGAGTCCACGACAAAGATCAATTCCATCGATTTGCATTATTATTTAATTTGGTTCAGTGTGAGAATACTTTACCTCAGGCAGCCAGATCACAGCTCAGACGAAGCACAGGGCTTCACAATCAGCTGAGTACAGCCACTAATTTCAGTACAGTGGACGTTTATTTCTCTTTTTGCTCTTTCAGGAACGTCCCCAGCGTGTTTCCTGTCCTTACCTGGGTTCTGTTGAAGGCCACACGGGCGAAGACGGCCTGTGAGATGCCGGCCCGCTTGAGCTCGTCCCGCACCCACTGGTAAATCTCAGAGGAGACCTCCGTGTTCGACGCCACCTGTGGCTCCATGGGTTTGCTGTGGGAGCTGCGGTTGACAGGCGGGTGGTTGAGGTACTGCTGCGACAGGGACTGCTGCGCCAGAAGCCGGTTCACTGCATATTGCTGGTTGAGGATCTGTGCCATCACGAGCTGCTGGTTGACCAGCTGGGGGCTGATGGGTGTGGACACCAAGCCCGGGTGGTGCAGACCGGGGAGCTGGGGCTGCCGGCCACCTGTTTGGCCGCCGTGTGGTGGCGGGGCGTGAGGCAGCGGCGGCACCGGCGAGGAAGGAGTCTGCTCCGCCGTGCTGCCAGGGATAGGCTGCTGCTGCTGGGAGAAACCCAGGTGGTTGTGGTTGTGGTTTGGACCTGGCGGGGAGAGGTCGGACAGGCCGTCCATTTCCGCTGGAAGGAAGACAAAGAAACACGAACGCAGACAATTTATTAGTCAATCACTGATTTAAAGGCTAAAACACTGCAAAGAAAAACAGGGGAGGAAAAATAGCTCCTGAGAAAGAGGAGTAGACAGAGCAGCAAAAACGACATCTTTAATCTAACAATCGCAAACATCAGTTTAATAGCATCATAGCCATAGTCTCTAATCAGAAGAAATGAAACAGACCCGGCCTGCATCCCATCAGATTTTTGCCTCGAGTGAATCTTAGCCTGTCAGCTAACATTCCTGTTTACTCTCTGTTGGAGGAGAAGACATTTCTGCATCCAGCACATGTCCGCTAACAAAAAGATGTGCAGGAGTTTAGTGTTTTCTCCCTTCACAGGCCTCTCAGAGACGACACAGCTCATCAGCCAACAACTGGTTAAAAAACACGGAAAAGATGGAAACGGAGATAAAAGACCTTCATTGTATTTGACCTGTCTTCCACAAGCCATGCCTTCAAAATTAAGTTCAGAACGTCTGTGGCCTCATCATGTGAAAAAAAAAATAAAATCTTGGTAAGACAGTAGAGTGTGTGTGTGTGTGTGTGTGTGTGTGTGTGTGTGTGTGTGTATGCACAGAGGCAGAAGCAGCGCTGCTAAATCTGATTCTCTCTTTGCATCGTTAATTCTAAAATAAGGAACACAAGCTAGCCAATATGACATTTTTAGGGGAGGATGGTTTAAATATAAATGTAGGGAGCAGTGAGCAGAGACAGAAGGAACACATGGGAGGATAGAGTGTGCAACCTGAGAAAGTTTCCAATTTGAATGCACTGAAACAGATTTGTTTTGAACTGTCTGTAGGAAAACACACACACACACACACACACTCTCTATGTGCCGTCATTTAATGGCGTTTTGGAGATTTTTGCGGCATCTCTTGCTTTGGGAATCTTTAAGTCCATAATGGCTGCTGGGGAATATTTTAAGACAGGTTTAAATTATGTGCTTAGAGGATGAAAACAATGATTTAACATTCAAAGTACTACCCACAACGAAGTGAATGAGCATTTGGGGCAGCTGAATGTTTTCAGGTTACCGCCTCATTTAAGGAATCCACATATGCCGAGGCTTTTTGCGTGCACGACGCCGAGCGAGTGAGGGGGCAGCATTTAAGAATTCATACGGATGGCAACATTAACACCTCAGAAGTGTGCTGCGGCCTCCACATCCCACAGAAAAGCTTCGTATGAGATTGTGAAAAGCGTAAATTGCTGTTAAGGGAAAGGATGGGGGGGTGGGGTCTTCAACAAGCTGAATTTTTCAGCAGATGAAAGATTAAGTGCATGGATGTTTTCCAAAAATACCCACAATAATCGTGTGTTTGAGCTGCCTGTTTCTTAACTGTCAGCACGCACAAAACACCCGGCCAAGACGGGTCTATTGAGTGTTTGTCGAAAACAAATGATGTGGAGAGGGGGGGACAAAACAAAAAAATCTTGGTAATAATCACATCTCTTCCCATAATCCTTGGCATTCCCTGGCTCTGATGGTATGGCGTGCCTATTCACTCATATGTGAATGTGTGTGTGTGTGTGTGTGTGTGTGTGTGTGTGTGCATATGCTTGCTCACACAGACTGCTGGGGGGCATACTCACAGCACACAAACACACAGGCACATGGAGGCATTTCCATGCAAATTGAAAAGAGAAGGGGTGACAGAAGAGCATGGCAGGCCCTGGGAGAAAAAGGCTGCCACAGAAGCGGGAGTCCTCGTGTGGAATCCTGCCACAAAAGAGCCCCGGATTAAACACACAATGGGAATGGGATGTGGGCTGAGGGAGGCAGGGAGGGAGGGAGTGTGTGCTGGTGACTGTGAGTGAGAGAAAGCGAGAGAGCGAATGAGAAAGAGAGACACTGACCCAACTCTCGCTCTGTGTTGGCTTCCCTACACCAGCGGGGCCACGTCAAAAGAAGCAACAGCACACTCGCTGGCGGCCGGTAACACCACTTCAGCTGACAGAGAGGCAGAGCACTCTGCCAGTACCTGTGACCAGGTACTTGTTCCCCTTGACTTCAGGCTCAAACTGCTTGCTAAATGCAGTGCGCTGAAGTAAATACAGTCAGATATGACACCGCTGCCAAAGCACAAAGGGATGGCCGTGCCACTCTCTCCTCCAGCCTTCATACTTTTGTTTCTCCACCTTTTGTGGCAAAGTACAGCAGCTCGTCATAAATACTGAAGACAGAGGAGCTGACACAGGCGTGTGGTGAGCACCTGAGGCTCTTGTGCCAAAGCTTTGAGTCTGAGGTTTGGCTAACATGACGCGTGGGTGCTCGAGTTTCTGTGAATGTGTGTAAGCACATCTCAGATGTTATCACCACCTTTGTGTACGTGTACATTTGTGGTTCTGTTCTTATCAGGAACTGATTTCCTTTGCAGAGGATGTTAAAAAGACAAATTGTTTAGCAGTTAATGCTTTTTTAAAGTCAAGACTGAGTGACATTTCAATAATTATTCTGGTTGAAAAGGTATGAAGGGTGTGGCCCTGATGGACGCTTTAAAAAACGTTAGCATTCGTGTCAAGTTAGTGTAGAAGTTTGAGATGAGAGGGGAGGGAAAGAAGCCAAAGAGAGAATGAGCGAACAAAGTGAATCATGTTTCATTTTAATGTGACTTTTAAATGACTTTATTTGTTTTTGGGATCAAGAATGAGATTATAATTGAGATGCAGTGCAGGGAAGTCAGGTGGTTGCCATGAAGCATTCAGTTTAGGCATTAGGGAAGGAATGCACTTCTCAGATGTGTCTTCTTATATTAATTCAAGAAGTCACATTACGGTGACAAAAACCTGGTTCACACAGAGTAAAGCCCAAAATAGTTTCCCAAAGCTTGTTTTTTAGTCTTTATATGAAGGTACGGTTTAGCGTTGAGAGTGAAGATGAGGCCTAAGTGTGCGGTTGTTGCAGTAACGGTCATGGGAAGTTTCCAAGGAATGAACTTGTGCCAACGCAACGTCCTCCAAAGTGACAAGACCGAGGGTGTGTTAGTGTGTGTGTTGCGACATACCTAGTGCATTGGCACGCGGGCTCTCACGGAGGACACACGTCCCCAGGTAGCCCTCCAGCTGGGAGGGTTGGCGCATGCCTGCACCGTCGGATGGCAGGACACGCACACGCACACGCACACAGCACGCAGTTATGAGGAGAAAAAAACAAAACAAAACAGGGTTAAGGCTTTCTGCAGTTTGTCTCTCCCACTCCAGCTAGGCAGAGACATGACATTTAAAACATCGGCGTCACCGAGGCCAGACTGGCAGCTGCAGCGGTTCCACTTTTGAGGAACATAAAAACCAAATAGAGAACAATTGTGACAGAAAACGTGTAGGAGTATGCAAGAGAATACACGAGTACAGCAGGTCTCAAGTAAATAATGTTCCCAGTGTATGTTGCCGCTTTAACAGGAAAAAAAAAAGCAAAAAAAACCCCTCAGATAAGATATGATCACAACACGCTATTTGCATGGAGGCTGTGAAAACATTTTGATATAATATCTCATCTGTCATCACGGCGAGTGGTAGCACACTGGCAAAGACAAAAAGATTATGTTCAACAGATTGCTAAAGCTAATATCTCAACATTACACTGCCTTATGAGTATCACAACAAAGTGGTGTTCTGCTTAATCAAAAGACATAAAAATATATCAGAACTCCATCTCCAGCTCGGGGTGCTACTGGTATTATATAACCTCATTTCCTGGCGGGTCAAAGGGGATTTTTTTTGAGATTATATAAAGAATGTGTTGGCAGAGGGTTGATAAGAAAATCTAATTGAATTTTAGACTAGGCGGTGGCTGGCTGAAGCCATCGCTGTTTTTTTGTGCATGGAAAACTAAAGTGTTATACACACACACACACACACACACACACACACAGACAAACAAACAAACACACACACAAAAAAAAAACAGTCAGCTGCCTCAATTTGGCTCTCATATTAGCGTTAGTTAAAGCAATAATGGATAAATCAAAGATAACACTGTGTTCGACTGTAAAACTGTGTGTAGTAATCTTGAATTATTAGATAACAAGATAAAAATGTATTTCTGCTTCATGCAACAGCAGGAAGACAAAGAGACGGTTGGTTGGAGAACATATTGTAATGGTGACTGGTGTGTACGCGTGTAAATGTGTGTGTGTGTGTGTGTGTGTGTGCAAAGAGACAAAAGTGTGAGCGCCATACTTTGCGCCCCTCCGTTTTGCTTACCCATCATATCTTTTGTCTTCTTGAAATGTTTATACCAGCGCCCAAATTCCTGACACTTCGCCGCCGACACATTTGCATAGTAAGTGCTGTTCACAATGGAGGAAATCATACTCTGAAAGAGAGAGATTGATTGAGAGAGAGGGAGAGAGAATGAGAGAGAGACTTTAGATTCTCATTGTGGAAAATGCAGACATAATATTAAAGCTTGTGAAACATGCAGTAACACTGTAGCTTGTCAAAACAAATAAAATATAGGGACACGGTAGAACCCAGCACTAGAAAAAGCCAACTGAAAGGTATCAGACATGCAGAAATTTGGGATTCGTTCCGCTAAAGGTAAAACAAATTACATCAAACATCTGTTCTGTTTTTTTTTTTTTTCTCTTTTTATCAAATGCCGTTGAGTTTGTCTGAAGTTTTTTTTTTTCAGAGTGGGTGAATTATAAGGTCAACGGAGTTCTACATCTGTTGACATCAAGAGGAAGCGGCAGGAAAAGATATTTACCTTCGAAAAGAAAGGAGATAGCGGCTTATTGAATATCAGCACCTGGGGAGTTGGGCGATGTAAACAGATAAACCTCTTTTATTCTTCAGCTCTTTATTTATACAATCTGTTAAAGACAACAACTTCAAGCGGATCGGGGGCCGCGCTGAGCATGTCGTTCTCCGACGCATATGTGCTCCCGTCCCCCCCATACAGTCGGCTCTTTGCCCTCTCAGCATCTACTTCAACCGTCTTCCTTCGCCTGAGAAAAACAAAGAGCCGTTTTTTTTTTTTTTTTCCCACATCCAGTTTCATTAAAATGAATGTTTTAACACCTTGCCGGCCTGCGGGTGAATAGCGAGGTTGGTGCAGGAGAAATTGTTTTTGATTGTTATAAATATTCAAAAGAACCAAACCATCTGTTTTCAAATTATAGGTATGCCATCTTTATCATTTTCTATAATATATGCGCTTGGAGGACGGTGGGGGAACCTTCTGGCAGGGTAGCATGGCAGCATAAATGAACTGCTACAGGATGCTTCTGGTTTTCTGGCTCTAGCTCCTTTGCACAAAAGGAGGCTAAAGGGTGACAGCTGTGCTATCGGAGAGGTCAATCAAACCGTGAACTCCCGACCTCTCCGTCAAAGCACCTCGTGCAACGGCACCAGTGGAAGGCAGGACACAACCGACAAGCTCGGAAGTGGCACGAATGCAAGACAAAGTTCACGGGAGGATCCGAAATTAACAAGACAGACACAAGTTCCCTTTGTGGGAAGAGTAGCAGGGAGGCACCAGTCTGAGGCTCCACTAAAACAAGAGCTGTTTTTTTATTTTATCAGTTTCATGTGATATCTCCTCCTAAAAAGAGATCCAGGATGAATAATTTCCTTTGGATGTTTGGGGCCAATAACACCACACAAGAGTTTATAAAAGCTCAAAGACATTGGTGGCGCTTGCCAAGACTTGGTGCAATAATATTAAAGTCTAGCTAAAAGGAAAAAAATGCAATTAAATGTGGAGGAAGCGATCATTTATTTGCGTTCTTTACAACAGAAATCACTCAAGGCACCGACACATGACTCTGGCTGTACCTGCTCGCATCAGGTGGAGTCAGATGTTTGCGGCTGCATTTCGCCCCGCACACACTCGGATGCTTATTTTTTCAAGGCAAACACAGGCAGCTGAGGCGAGTCACACTGGTGACTGCAGCTGGGTGTGAGTTTGTGCCAACAATGCTGTGGTGCATCATCCCGTCACGGTGAGAAACAAGAGGGCGAAGAGGTCTGCATTTAGACCCGCACAGTACGACAAAGCAGTCCTTTATGGATATATTGAAAAGCCTTCCTTCAATAAAAACCCTGACGGAGTTCAGGTTAGGGTTAGGGAGTCAGAATTACCCTTTAAATGGGTCATACATTTATGCATGAAGCCCTTCCTTCTTTTGGACGTATGCAATATCGGTATTAGGGAATAATAACTGCAAGTTCAACCTCCCGTGGTCTTAAAATGACAATTCTTCTCTGTTTCTTATGATGTGCAAAAGCCAGAGCAAATAAGAATGGATGGCTTCCTTTCTGATTTATTGCCTCGAAGAAAAAAAAAAAAAAAAGTGAATATTTGGGATGACAACTGGTAGAGCAGCAAACCGCACATTCCAGTTTAACCTGGTTCTTGTAGCCAACTCCCAACCCCGAGATCCGTCTGAAAACCATACATTGAGAGGAAGAAGACTTCTCCTTTAAGTCAGGGGGGATAATGAACTCCTCTCCTCCAGCCTGCCATGTTTTATTTACAGTATATCTGGGCTAAGGCGGCTCCAGGCAACAAACAAGAGGCCTGCAGAAGACGGTGTGCCTTTCTCTCTCTCTCTCTTCCCATCTTTCTCCCTATCTCTCTCGCTCCCTCTTTCTCCGCCATCTTTGACACAGATGTTCTAATAAACGCTCCTCATTAATCAGCCCTCTCCCTCAATACATCACTCTACCTCTCACAGGGGGCCCGGCGTGTATGTGTGAACGAAGCAGTGCACACACACCTATTCTGTGCCTCTGCCTCTCCCCACCGCTCTGTCACACAGACACGCATACGCACTAAGTGAAATCAAGCAGATAACCAGAGCCTCTGCTGCCACTGCGGTGCCAGCAGGAGGGCTGTGCTAGGGCTTGTCAACAGGTAGCATGGCTGCGTACGTGTGTGTGTGTGTGTGTGTGTGTGTGTGTGTGTGTGTGCGCGTCCCAGTGTGGGCGGGTTTGTGTGTGTGTGTGCATGAGCATGTGTGTGGACCCTTTAAGTGATAGCCATCTGCAGCACAGAGAGCTTATCAGCAAGACCAGGAAGTGGCACTGGGCTGCTATCGGTCCCCAACATCTACTCCACTCCCCAACATGGAAGACAGGAAGAGAGAGGAGAGTGTGTGTGTGTGACTGTGTGTGTGTGTGTGTGTGAGTGTAAGAGAATAGCGGTGCAGCAGGCAGGTACTGTAGGCACCCAGCTGCCAGCGTTAAAGTGTGCTACACACCGGCAAACACACACAGAGTACAACCCCTGCAGACAAACACACATGGTGCCATTACACAAACTCACACTTGCAGATTAACACACACGCACACAATTAAACACACACACACACACACACACACACATTCCAACTTAGCCTGATGTCTTGAATCAGCTGGGGAAAAAGCACATCCCGTTTGCAACACTGCTCCTTGTCTCTCGCCAGCATCTCGCAGAGCTCCATTATGGCACACATCCACCTCAACTGGGATGACCCACCCCCCCAGCCCACCCCCCAAATCCCCTCATTCTAACACACACATGCATGCACACGCACACGCACGCGAATGCGCACACGTACACTGGCAGCCAGGTTGCGCCTGTGGCAGCCGAGGTGGCGAAGGCCTGCAAAGATGGCATTTTGATGACTATTTGCTGCTACACAACGCAGCAGCTGGTGCATCAGGGGCCGCCCAGCGAGAGCGAGCGGGGGGTGGGCAAGAAGAGGTGGTGGTGGCAACGGGAAAGAGTGGGGTGAGCTGCTGGGTGGGTGGGTGGGTGGGGGGATTCTCGTTTGTTGCCATAGTTTCTGCGAACATGGGCAAGGGGGTTGCTAAGCTTGGTAGCAACCTCAGGAACAAATAATAAGCCTGATTGGCCGATTGAGGCGGAATCAGGAGAAGTTTTATTTATTTATTTATTTTTCTGTGTGCAGATGCTTCTCCGAGCCGCGAATCTTTCAGCCGGCTTCTTATGTGTGCAGGTCAGAATCAATTCCTCTCGCAGAATGACAATGGCCATGAGTGAATACATTTTCTCTCTGAGTTTCCTCATGCCATTTGTAGGCCAAACACACAAAGCATGACTCCCAGCTACAAAAGAATGAAACTAAATGTTTGACAAGGCCCCGGACAAAAGAAGCATTTCACAAAATAACCCCCTACCGCCCTCCCCTCTCTGCTCCACTCCCCCCTCCTCCCCTCTTCTCTTCAGAGCCCTGTTCAGAGGTGGGCTAATTCTCTTTCACTGGCTGGCAGTGATTCTCTCATCTGTTAACCTCTCTTTTGGGTCTGGGATTACGCAGCAGAATATCAAGGAAACACTAATCCTAAAAAGGTGCCAATCTTCTGCTCCCTCCTGCAACGCCCCTTTCCCCTCCCACTCATTTCACTTTTTTTTTGGACAACTCAGAAGCCTGGGAGGGTGGGCCGAACGCCTCCTGGCGTCTCACCTTCCCGTGACGCTGCATGCAGGCGGCGGCGGCGCTGCTCGCAGGGCAGGGGGTCCGTGTACGGGGGCAACGTGTGGACATGCCTCCAACACGACAACCAGCCTGACAAACCAACCGGGTTTAGGAGGAGCAAACCGCCACTCTATGGGTGTAGCACGCCACATGCATCCCCACAGAGTAACAGATGTCAAACACCATCATGGCAGCCGCGTTTCAACAAGGCAGATACAGATACATGAAGATCATCCGATTGTGCAGCAACAACGCAGCCGAGCAGCCAAGCTACATTAAAAACTTCTAAACTGGATTAGTGTTTTTAAGCTCGGTGCCTTAAATTTTGACTGAAGCTGCCGCAATCCTACAATGTCTGGCTACCAGTTCTGCACGACAGTAAATGTAATACAATTCACATCAGAATTTATGGCCGAGCTAGCCGCTACGACACATACGAGAAAGAAGGAAACAGATTCAGCTGAAGATATTTTAAGGACCGCCTTCCGTCCTCACTGGAAAACTAAAACAATCTTCAATTTAATTTGAGACCAGTGTGTATGTCAATATAGCGAATATGTGTCTGAGGGAGAGTGTGTGTGCTTGTGTGTTAAATCCTCTGAGCTAGCGTGTGCTCTCTTCTGAGCCGTCTTCACATATGGACCGTAAACAGGGTGATTACCAGACCGGGCTGGGCTCCGCCTGAACGCCACCCAGGGACTCTTTACATCATCAGCGCACTGCTCATGCCCGGCTAAACACACAAACACACACACACACGCTCGCACACTCGCGTTCACACATACACGTACGCACACAGCGCAAATGAGGGTCTCCAGGTGACCATACGGTGGCCTGGGAGGGGAGCTGGCTTCATACCGCCGGCACCTACGCACATGCTCGCAGCGAAACGCACACACGCATGCAAAAACACAAATAGCGCTTTCATATAGACGTCCTGTGCATTGATATACATTTCACAACACACACATATCTTCTGTAACACACACACACACACACACATTATTGGCCCCTGTGAGAGATATACTGCCGTTTCATTCCATTCACTCCAGAGCTGCCTCTATGATATACCGACTACACTGCCTGTTAATACAATATCTCTGCTAGTGCTTTCTATCCAACCTCCCAGCCGCCAACAAAAAAAAAAAAGAAAAGGAAGAGAAAAATAGAGGATATAGCACCTAACATGCGAACGTACGATCTCCGGGCTAACGCAATGAAACGCTGAGACTGAACCAAATGAGAAAAAGAACAAAAAACAATCCGGACGGTTCTGGGCCGGAGCCAATGTTTATCTAACAATAACCATACGTTCGACAACACCTCTGCTTTTTGGCTGCCATCGCATACGAGTCTGTGTGTCGTGGGCGGTAAAAGAAACACACACCAAAAAAAAAAAAAAAGAAAGAAATCATGCGGCAAACAAATGACAATAGCCATTGATTTGGGTTTTCTATGCCGATTCTCTTTCCCACTTGATCAAACTCAGGGCATTTGATAACTGAAGGATAAAAGACGGAGGTGATGGAGATAGGGGTGTTTGTTCTGTGGTGCGGTATGGTAGCAAGGAGGTGGGGTTGGGCTTTATTCTGTTTTTTTTGTTTGTTTTTTTTTTGAGTAAGCAGATTGGGCTTCAGCACCTGTGATAAAGGACATTCTTTAGCCAGAGAGCTCTGATTCATGTCTTTGAGTAACTCCTTGAGGGCGTTTCTTACTGTAGAGTGGCTCCATTGCTCGGGCGGCAGGTCCTCCAGCTTAGGACAACTGCGGAGAGAGAGAGAGGAGACATATAGGGGCGTGGGGTGGAGAATACAGGGAGGGTGAGGGAGGGGAGACAGGGAGAGGCCAGAGAGAGAGGGGAGACGGGTGAGGAAGGGATGGATAGGGATGCAGAGGGGGAGAGGGGAGAGCATGAGAAACAACTCAGACGGGGAGGAGAGAAAAGGCCAGCAGCTCGGAGTCAAACCACAAATTCAGCAGCAGAACAGTGGAATTATTTCATCTGCGTTTCCGTCACATGCGGAGCAAAGAGGTCAAACCGTCCAAAACCCGCCCGCGGGTTTGAGAGGATCTTTAAAACAAATCATGGAAACTTGTTGGCTTTCCTGATCGTGTGTGCTTCTGTTGGTAAAACTGAGAAAAATTTCACTTTAAAAATCACCAGATTCGCTTTGTTCAAAATGTAAAAGTCTGCCAGAAATAAAGAGCTGGCTCTAATCAGATCCTCCTGAACTCTGTCAGTTATTCTGCTGCAACCAACAGTCACAGGACAAAAAAATAAATATCCAGCGACTATTCAGATGAACTGCAGGTGAAGACAAAAAAATAGAATAAAAATGAAAGCAGTAGAATATCTTTAGTATGTAGAGCCACCTGTGTGCCCTTGGAAAAATATTTAACATGTTGATTCCAGGTTTTCACAATTCTTGAAAAATAAGCAAATAAAGGAACTTTTTTTTTTAATGATTTGTGGCACTGCACAACAGGCATGTTTAACTTCTCTGTTCTTTTAGTGTGTTGAGATGCTGAGGTGGAGGGCTTTATATATATATATGTGTGTGTGTGTGTGTGTGTTGCAGTGAAAAATGAGGCCACAGTGAGGAAAAATGTGACGGCAGCAAAAGCACCAGAGACTGCTCAGGATTTAGAGGCTAACAGCAGCGAGGAGATATCACCCTGCTGTGTGTGTGTGTGTGTGTGTGTGTGTGTGTGTGTGTGTGTCTGGTTTTATTTTATTTTATTCTTTTTTTACATCGAACTGAGAAACTTGTCGTGCAACATTGCAGATCTCTAACAAACTCAACAACCTGGTCCCACGACTGGCTGGGAAACGGATCACATCATTTAGTCGTGTTAAAAGCATGCAAATTATGAAGCAACTGTTTATTTTAGGGTAATCTGGCTCCTGGTTTTTTTCTGTTATTCAACTAGTGAGTCGGTTACCAGAAGCCAAAAAACACATCTTAAAATTCTCTCTTTTTTTCCAGATCAACTGTTAAAATCCCAAAGACCTCAGAAAAAGCAGCAAATCCTTACGTATTCTTGATAAATGACTTCAACAATTAATTGATAATCAAAGTCACTGTTGACTAATTTTCTCTCGAAAGACTCATTTGCTAATCGACTAATCATTTCTGCACTAATCAAGTATTGAGCTACAAACCGGCAATATGGGAACAAATTAGTTTGTGCAAAACAAAAGGTGTAAAACACGGCGGCGGCGGCGTTGGCGTTAGTCCGGCCCTGCTCAGAGAGACGACGTCGATAAATCGGCCACCGAGCATCAGATAGACGGAGCAGCACAGACAGAGAGGAAGCCGGAGAGAGAGGGGAGCTGAACACACCGGGCCTCGGCTCGTTTTTCCTGCTGCAAGCGCCCCTCCAAGACAGACAGATTTCATTTGGCGCATCAAGCAGATGCATCTGGAGATTGCTCTGTCTCTCTCTCTCTCTCTCTCTGCCTACCTCGCTCTCTCTCTCGCCCTCTTTCATATTCTCCCTCTCTCTCTCTCTCTCTCTCGTGATTGTTCTGATTAGTTAATTACTTTATACAACACATCTGCTGGATTGATGCATGAATTATACATCAGCTGCATGTGGCGACTATTATTTCGTGTTACTTCTACCTTCCTGGCTTGTTGTGCTCGGCGAAACAATTTAAGGTGTTACTGGCTAGATTTCTGCAGCAGTCGGGGTGTGTGTGTGTGTGTGTGTGTGTGTGTGTTGGGGAGGGAGGAGGGTTTAAGGGTTTGGCAGCATGGGAAGAGAAGAGGGAAAAACAAATAGAAAACAGCATACATATTTGATATATATAGATAATACATACAGTCAATAAATGGAGTCATGAGCTGCAGTTTAAGCAGAAAAACAGATTTCTGGGTTTTGAAAAACGACAAGACAAATTTATAGAGAGCAGGTCTCCCGTGACAGCACCCAGTTCATTCTGGATAAACACTTTATGCGTGCGAGACATATGTTTGATGCGTCTCGCGTTGCACTTATCGCAGAATTACTTTTTGCTAAACCTTGCTTGACACTTGTCAAGTGAGAGAGATGAGAGATTGAGCAGGGCTGATGAGTCCCCGAGTGCACGAGACACTGTGTGTGCGTCTGTCCATAAATCTGTCACTCGCCGTGTTACAAACGCTACCAGCAAAGAGATAACAGGAGAATGGAAGAGAAAGGGATGCGTGCAACGGTCGAGGCTAACATCTGCTAGTAGGAAAACACGCTGCCTCACACACGCACTCTAACACACAAACAATGGATTTTCCAGAACACCTTAAACTGCTCCAGCAGCTAGAAAGCCTCTGGGGAGAAGGAAGTGAACACGAGCAGGGAAAGAGGGATGAGACAGACAGAGGGGTAGTGGAGAAAGACAGCTTTCCATGCATTCAGGGGCTAGCAAGGCGGAAATAAACACAACCTTCTGCATTCTGGCTGGTCGGCGTGTTCACATCAGTCAGTGCATGTGTGGGTGCTTGATTGGTGAAGGTGGGTGGTGGTGGTGGTGGGTGGTGGTGGTGGTGGGGGAGACAGAAGGAGAGAGGGGAGAGAGAAGGAAGAGAGAGGAAGAGGCAGAGCGAGCTAGAGAAAGAGTAGGAACAGCTCTCCAGAGGGTTGCAGAACACTGGGTTAGCGTGCAGCTGGCACAAGCCTCCACACCACCGCCAGTCGGCTGTTTCTTCGTTAGTGTGTGTGTGTGTGTGTGTGTGTGTGTCCATGAGCACATATGAGCCTGTTTGCGTCCATGTCTATAAATGCTCGTATGCTCTTGCTGTGTGTATAAATACGACAAAGCCTCACACCTACAGAGAAGAATTTAGCATACAATATGGTGAGCGATGGCAGCAGACAGCTAGCAGTAATCAGGGTACGAAGGTTTCAGCTCGCTGCTCGTCTTTATCGTGTGCAGTGTTGATTCAGAAGAAATATATTTCACTTAAAATAGTCGGCGGAGTCAGGTTTATTTACGGGACTATTTCAGATGAACAACCTTGCATTCATCTGCTGCAGAGTCATTTTTAGCTGCGCACTCCGACCACGTTCATTTTTTTTCATGAAAAGAGCTTAAGTGCTGCTTTCTACCCAAAAAACTCTGACAGCATTATCATGTTTTATTTTGTGTTATCTGCACATTAGTTAACATCAGAGCTACACCGACCTCACGGCGGCACAAACTAAACCGTCAGCAAGGACACCAGGATGGTTTTGGCGTCCCATCAGTTAACGGTTAAACTGACAAATAAAAGCGTCTCTGTGTCGCTGTAGCTCGCTGGGTGAGGAAGTTTTCATTATTCAAATGGGTTTTTCCCATTTCCTGGGAACGGTCAGTCGGTTGAGTGTGTGAGTAATAACGCTATTCTCAGCATCAAACACACAGACTGCCACCTGCCTCTGGACACACAGCGTGTCGGTGTGGGGACCAGTAATGGGCCTAACTGTGCCACCATATGCACTGGAAGGAGATTCTGTGAGTCGTAGTGGAGCAGAAACTGTTCATGACATTATGTTGGAGCATATATGTACAGAAGACGTGGTACAGGTGGATGTGACGTGCTGTAGGTCGTGTGTGTCTGTCTGGTGCTTCTCACCTGTGCAGCTGGATCTTAAGCGTGACCACGTGGTAGACGTCCTGCAGCATGTCGGCCACTGTGGCGTCCGGAGCATCTGTCACATACGACAGAGGGACGGGGTTCCACTTCCCCACCTGAATCATACCTGAGCGACGCACAAAAAAAACAACACAAAACACACAAACACGGGTAAATGTGTACACGCGACAAGGACGCGAGCAGGAGGTGCATTTTTATCATTTTAGCTCGCCGTCGCTGTTCATTCTGAGACAGCCACACATGCACGGTGATAAATAAAGGCCTGTGCAGATAGACGTGGCAGAAGCATTTTGCTGCAATAAACTCTCTTCATTTCCTTTATTTGTTACTCAAATCACAACGGCCGTGCAGGAGTATCTGAGAGACTGCCTTAAAAACAGTGGCAGCCCACACAGCAGGTATCGAGGAGGAAGATTGCTTCTGAAAAAAGGTGAACTGGGATGTGAATGTAAGTGTGATGGACAGGCTGTAATAAAAGAGCATGCAAAGAGGCACCTTGAAACAGCCACCCTCGGCCTGCCTGCGTTCAAGTGCAATTAGCAGACCCTTTCCTCCGCCTGCCCCTCCCACCTATTGAGTCACTGAGTGTACATAAATATGTTCAGTATGAAGCGCGTATGAGTGCACGCACAGTGTGAGCATTGCATACGAACGTGCACGTAAACATTTCAGCGGGCAGACCTGAGCGTCGAGGCTCCGTCTGAGCGAGCACATATCTGTGTGGGAATGTGTGAGTGTGTCTGACCCCTGGGAGACTCGAGCATCTCCTGTCTGGGATCAGTGTCAGGATGTGTTACTGTGGCTTCAGATCTGCTGGCGGTAGGCTATTATGGTCACAGAGTGTGAGTGTGTGTGTGTAGCATGTGTGAGGCAGAAGGAGAGTGTGTGCAAAAGTAGCAGAAAATACTGTAGAGAAGACGCTAATGAGCTTTAGCGAGAAAAGGCAGGAAAATTAAAGAACAGTGTCAGATCGGGGGAAGAGAGCGAGGAGATGGTGATGAGAGTCATCAGCGCCTACCTTTGGCCTGGGCCGCCGAGCTGTGGGAGTAGCCCAGCGACAGCAGGGCCATCTCGATGAGCTGATTGAAGAGCATGTCCTTACGCACCAGGACAAATTCGGCGTGCTCCTCCTTGCTGTCAAAATCCATGGGATTCTCGTAGTGCTCGACGACACAGAACACGGGCAGCATGTTGCCTGAGGACGTGGAGACACAAGTCAAGACCGGGAGGCTTCACGTTTCTTCACATGCAAACTCTGACCTTCGGTATTGTGTTTGCGGAGGGACGAGATTAATATTTAGCCCCGATGATTAAGTTACACTGAGGTTGAGTGTCAAGGGATTAGAAGTGAACGACTCGATAGCTGCTGGGGGGACAGAAAAAAAGATGAGTTTGGACTACAAAGGCATACTTCATCTTTTATGGGGCAATTTCCATCTAAACCTTCACCTTTTTGTTCCGATGCCAAACTCTCACGTCCACTTGGAGGAATCACACGTTACAGAATCGCTTTCACATCTTTTTGTCTATTTTTTTCCTGTCTTTCAGCTCCTAGCATCGTCCTCCTCACAGGCGCTTTTTGTCCCTGCGTTCCCATTTTAAGCTAATTTTTCTGTTCTAATCAGTAGCTGTTGGAGGGTTCCTTCCTGCAGCCGTACGCTTCAGCATGATGACGTAACGCTGCAGACGTGTTGCGCTGCGGCCTGCAATGACTAATACGAGTTTTTAACAAGTGAATGTGCACATTACAGACAGAATCACAACCTTTAGCTCAGTGTGAACCAAAAATCCTTCAACTCGTCTGTCTCCGTTTTGGCACAATATACTGTTTATTCGCTGTCAAGGTGCTGGGATCACATTAGCCTTTCCCGCTGCCTGCCAACCCAAAATCATCTTCCCATGATGCAGCGCTTCAAATCCCGAGCCACCTCTGCGCCCTGAGGTTTACTAGACTGTGTCAACAGCGGCTCTGCTGTCGGCTGGAATGAACAATCCTTGTCCAAAGACTGTCAAACGTTTAAGGGACCAACTGTGCAAATATCACCCAATATGCCATATTTCTGCTAAAATAACATCCCTGAAATTCTAAAAAGTTTAACGCCCGCCTTGGCCTTTTGAAGTTTCGATGTGCTGTCAAAGCGCTGATGAAGAAGATATCTGTTGCTGTGTTTACGAGGTGCCCCGCTGCCCTACTTTCTCGGCGTTTCTCCGCTCCGCTGTCACCTGGACAAATTCCTGTACGTTTATTGTCACTGCAGATAAAAATGATTCACATTCTAATATTTTCCGATCCCCGGCATTCCAGAAGATGCACACAGCTCTGGCAAAACAATCAATAAGCCGACAGATGCAAGGGAATGTGCTGAAAGAGCTGCTTTTCTCCTCCCCTGATTTTAATAGATAAAGATCTAACAATAAAGACTGCTGTGTAGGTTCATTTGGGGGATCAATACTGGCTTTGTTTCCAGGGAGCCCAGAGAGGGCTGCGGTAAATATTGTTTCGGGCTCGGACACAATGCCCACTGTGGGCCCTCTGCGAAGCCTCCGTGGCGGCCGGCCCGCCCGCCCGACCCGCCTCCCTCGGCTGCTTCACCCTCTGCTAAGCCGACGAGAGGGAGAGGCAGAGGAGGGGAGGGCACGGAGGAGGAAGGTGGTGGGAGGCCAGAAGAGGCAGAGATGATGAAGGTGAAGAATTAGGCTCTCTCAGCTGGGGTGCAACACGTATATAAAAAGGAGCGAATAAGAGGAACGGCCCATCCGAGGACGCTCTCACAGTCGCATTCCAAGAGTTCCTGAGTCCCTCTTGGCCAAAGAAAACCAAAGCAGCCAAACAAACAAACAGTGGAGCCTTCGCAGCCAAGTGCTATTACGACTCCAAACCTGCAGGTTTTCAAACTCATTTCCAACCTACTAAAAAACAAGAAAACATAACCATAAAAGGTTCATATATTAGATGGCTCTGCCTGCCGTGTTTCTCACAAGACGACACCGGTTATATTAAAAAGCTATGTCATAATCTCAAAGTAAAGGTCCCCTTTAAGCAGCAACGGCTCTTAAAGGACTGAAACTTTCCCTTAATAAACAAATGTCAGAGCAGGAGGGCTGCGGCTGGAGAGAGGAGCAGTGACACAGCGCTATGCAGCAGCACCACACAGGAATCATTCTCACAGTGCTCTTCTATTAGCTATTGTCTGGGCAAATAAGTGGGAGTGTGTGCAGTGTGTGTGTGTGTGTGTGTGTGTGTGTGTGTGTGTGTGTGTGTGTGTGTGTGTGTGTGCCGAGATGACTAAAGAAGCATTGTAAAAAGGTTTAAGAGTTTTGGAGAGCATGCAGGGGTGGTGGGTGGAAGGTGATGTGTGTGTGTGTGTGTGTGTGTGTGTGTGTGTGTGTGTGTGTGTGTGTGTGTGTGGGTGGATGGGGGGCTATTTAAACTGCACAGAAATTGCTTTCCTCTATTTACAAGGCTTATTTCTCCTCATGCACACAAAACTTCTTTAAACTATATTTGGGCTGCGACGACACATGAATCCTTTTGCTGATTATTTCATGAAGCGTCTGATTAATTGATGAAGCATGTATAAGACGTCAGAATTTAGGTCTGCACTTATCAATTAATCTGCTGAAAATTTTCTCTCGATTATTCATTTTGTCTGTGAAACAGCCAGAAAAGGAGAATTTTCCAAGGCCGACAGCAAACATGTTTAAATTGCTTGTTTGTCCTGCGATCACTTCAAATATTCAGTTTTCTGTGACATGAAACAGAAAGAAAAAAAAAAAGCAGAACATTTTGGTATGAGTGAAGCACATCTTTCTGTATATCTGCTTGAAAATGTTTTTGTTTTTGGCAACTTATTAATTTTCTGTCAATCAAGTAATTGATTAAGCGACTGGGTGCTGCTCACAGTTTCCCAGAACCCGAGGTGAAGTCTTCAAATTGGCTTTTTTTGTCCAATAAACAGAGCAGAAGCCCCGAAATTTACAATTATAGGAGTCTGAGAAAATCAGTAACTCTTCAAATACCGAGATGCTGGAAGCGGCAACTGTTGAGCATTATTAGCAATAAATCAAACTAATTTTCTTTTGATCGACTGGAGGATTGGTGCTCTGCCGGTCCGGACTCTCTCTCTGTCTCTCACACACACTCACACACACACTCTGTCCGTCCTACCTCTCTTGTGGCAGGTCTTCAGCAGGTGGCTGGTGGGTTTGTACGGGACCCCGGCTAGCTTGGCCCCGGTGCTGCCCAGCCTGGCCCGGCCCAGGGGGCTGCCGTTCTGCTCCAGCCGAGGCAGCTTGGCCGGCGGGGCTTTGGCCTCTGCCATGCTGTTGACCAGCTCAGAGTTCTCCTTGCCCAAACACGTCTCGCTGAGATGGTCCATCATTCTCAGCACCTCTGCTCACTATCACCTGGGGAGGCAGAAACAGAACCATCGGGCTGTCAGCAGACGGATGTGTGCGGCGGCTGAATTATGATACAGGGGGAGCAATAAAGCCAAACTCTTTGTGTTGGTATCGCTGACATGTGAAGACGTTTTTATAGAGCAAAGAGAAAAAAAATAAAAAGTGCTTTAAGTAATTGAGACCTCTGAGAACAGACCCATTACGGCAGTTACTGTCAATTCGCCTCAGTTGTGATGACTCGGTCCACGGTGACGTTTCCGTGCTGCTGTAATGTTCCCATTTTTCAATGCATGTATTATGTATGGGTGTCCCGCTAGAGATTCCCATGCGAGAAGGGGCAAACAAGCCCCGGTTTTAGTGCAAACACATTAATTTGCTGGGAGATTCCACTTGAATGAATACAGTGCAGTTCAAGGAACAAGGTTCTGCTGCGGCGGCGCACGCACGGAGGGGGAAACCAACGTAATTCGGTTTGTGAGTCACTTCGTGTGGCTTCACATTCATGACGCAGCCCGGAGGGAAAAGGAGGCGAAAGGCCGCAACGTCAGTCTGAAGTGACAGACGCAGAATCTGTGACTTTACAGGTGTGAAGTTCACTTCTGGATTTTCTGCAAGTGCAGCACAACATCCAAGCAGTGAGTTTACAAGTTGAGCTTGAGGAAACTCCACAACATGCAGCTGCTGACTCATGAGGGTAGTCATCAAAAGTTAAAGTAGGAAAGAGAAGACAAGGGAGGGATTGACAGAGAGGAAAGATGGAGGACGGCTGCTGCACCCACAGGTGCTCCAGTGCTCAGACACCAAGCTCAGCGACGACAATTAGCAGAGCTGCAGGGGAAACTTAAAGATTTGACCGCCTGTGATATAAGATGCAAATGTAATTATGCATGCAGCTGAATGGCTCCTGATGGCCGTGAACTGGAATGCTGCTGTCAATGAGTGGAGAGGGCAAAATCATCCACCCCCACGCAAAAGATCATGAACTCCCCCATTCATAACATGCAATGAGGCAACTAATTCCCCACAAATAGGGGGGCCAGAGGAATCCAGACCCGGATGCAGTCCGGATCCAGGTCAGGATTTTTAAATGACCTTAAAACACACAGAAAAAAAACCCGGAGCAATAGTTCAAATGGACACATTAGCCCTAAAGGGGGAGTTAAGAGAGGACAAGTTGAGTTTAAAAAAAAGAAAGAAAAAAGGAGCAGACCAACCTGAGACGCAGCACTTCAGCACCGGAGAGCATAAAACACCGTCTTCTTCAAGTTTGGCCAGGGTAGAAAGAAAAGGGAAAAAACAACCAAAAAAACAAAACTAGAAAAACAAAAGCAACTCCCGGTTCCTCTGCTGGCGTCGCTCTACGTGTGCATGACAGGCGAAAGGTTATCAGAACCTGGAGCGACGCTTTCTCCTCCCGGACTGGCAGCGCTGCGAAACAACAACAAGCCGGCTCTGTGGCAGGGACGACGAGGTCGAGATGGACCGCGACGGGCGAACATTGGTGAGCGGGTCGTGTGTCTGTGTGTGTAGCCGTAGCTAATTCCGTCCAACCGGAGGGGGGCAAACCGTCAAAACCGGCGACATTTAGCTTAAAGTGAGCGGTTAGCCGCGTCCATCGGTTACAAGTGAAGGCGACTTCGGCGGTAGTTCGCAGCACAACATCCGAATCGGCGAGCGGGCGGCGGTGCGGCGCAGTTAGCAGCCGCCGGCGTGCGGCTCCGCACCTCGGACACAGTTGTGATAAAAAACAAGCGCCCGCCGCCGAGACCTAATAAACCTTCGCCGTGGATGTTCGCGAACAGGAACGGCTCCGCGTCGCTGCCGGCGGGCTGAGCAGAAGGAGGAAAATAATAATAACCGCTATGGAGGCGATGTGGAGGCGATATGCGGACAGGTTCGCGAAATAAAACAAGGAGAGGGGGGTCAAAAAGTGCGGTTTACTTTCCGACGCCGCGGATAAATAAGGCTGGCTGTGGATGCATGAGAGAGCTGCCTGCGATAGTAATAGTAGGAGGTGTCCTGTTGGCTGGGGATTGGCGTCCGGACGGAGCTCCTCTTTCTTTCTATCTCCCTCTCTGTCTCTCCCCCTCTCACTCCGTCTCTCCCTCTCTGTCCCCATTAAATTATTAGTTGTATTGACTCATCACTCCCCCCTCTCCGCTCCGCGCTGCTGGTGCTGCCGCCGCCGCCGCCGCCGCTCCTGCTGCTGCTGCTGCTGCCGCCTGTGCTTTCCCCCTTTTCTCCTCCTCATCTCAGATGGCGTGGTGGAGAGAGGGGGTAAGGAAAAAAAAATAAATGTAAAAAAAAAAAAAAAAAAATGGGGGGCAAAAATCGAGGCTGTTCTATGTGAGGGAGAAATAATCCCTCTAATGTTGGAATAAAACGATTCCTCCGCTTGTCAGGCCGGAAAAAGTCCTGGTGGAGACGAATAAAAGTGGAGAAAGTGGACCGGGAGAGAGGAACCACACACACTCACACACACACACACACACACACGCGTGCACATACACACTCACGCGCGCGCACACACACACACACAGGCGCGCTGGTGCGATTTGCGGCTGTGCGCGCAGGAATTTTTAATCAGCTTGATTAGAGTGAGGCGGTCCTGCATTTATTACCGGCTAACACACACACACACACACACACACACACTAGATACCTTAATTTATCATGTGTGTTTGTTTATTTATTAAAAACTACCAACACTTTTTATTCCAGAAAATGTCTCCACGTGCACTGATTATAGCCCCAAAAACTGACCTGGGCTCAGTGGTGCCGCTTCCAGTCAAGGTGAGCATTAAACAGGTGTTAACTCCAAAACCTTTTATAACTTGTCTACAAATGTTTTTTTTTCCACATGTGCAATCAGATAATAGGTGTGTTTTGTCTCATAGGTTGTTATGAAGTGATGTCAGAAATCATAAAAGCCTTAAAAGTGTGTAAAAGCATAAATCAAACTGGGAAATCGACTAAAAAAATACTATGATATAAGAAAATCCACCTATTTATACATGTGAGTGGGTTTTATTTTACATCCAGCATTCTTAAAAGAGCCCATCATGCTGATAATATTCAATATCCAATTTGGACTAATGCATATTTATGATGTGAGTGACATACTGTAGCCGGACAGCTGGAGTCAATATTAAGCTGCACTGATTTCTCAGACTAATATTGACTTATTGCATTGTAAACAGGCTGATACCATAATTATTTTCTCAAAAGGGTGCTGATTTGTGTTTCTCCTCCTGTCTTGTAATTTAGGTCAGCCTTAATGACAACGCCATCAAAAAGACTTTTTTTCTCCTTACGCCACATCCCTGGTCAAGCTCTCAAACTTTTCTTCTATTGCAAGTCACACTGTGTTATGTCAAAGTAGATTACAGCAAAATATTAGACAAGCTAATCCCTGTTGATACTGTCAACAGAACCTTGAACTGTCAAAGCGGAGGGAGACGGGAGAGGAATGCCGGGTGGCCGCTGGGAGCTGATGCTAAGCTATTGTTCTTATTTTGTAATTATTTCATGAAGCTCTCTGCAGCAACCTGCAAAAACATCAGAGCAGATAAGCTGTTGATATTGTCAATAAAAGCCTGATATGGGGTTTGTACGTAACCTCAAGGTGGCCTAATAATAACAGTTTCACTCTGACTTTGTGAGCACAGGCCACACAAATGCAGACACATGTGACAATAAATACCCCGATGCTCTCTGCTATGTGGCCCTCCATCTTTAGCTGCTATGAAAAGCCAGAGGGGGGAGTGTGTGAGACTCAGGTCAACGGTAATTTACACACGTCAGATATAGTTTTATCCTATAAATACCACACAGCATAAAAGCAGTGAAAGGTTGCACCGTATAACGTTTAAATAATACTTTACCACTGTTCAACATATTTAATAATAAATACACTTTTCTAATTCGAATCGGCTCACAAAAAGGCAAGTTGTGGTTTTCTCATGTAATTCACCAAGCCAATATCTAAAAAAAAAAAAAAAAAAGCAACAAGCATGTCTGTCCAGGTTATGTAAGAACAAAAACAGGAAACCAACAGCAAACAGGAAGCGTGTACACCTAACACAGTGACAGAGGTTGCGAGCCGACCGTGGAGGTCAGGCGTGTGTGAAGAGCTACATAACACTATATGCTTACTAATAAATCTTTGCAGGGCTCATGAAGCTCATCTCGCTGCGTGAGACCGTAAATAAAGTGACGGCAAATCGCCTCAAACAAAGCTGCTGTTTGATAAACAATGCAGATGTGAGCGTCGCAGCTTAGCCTGACAGCAGCCGCTGACGACGGCGGTCGGAGGAACAAAACGAAGGAAATCATTCCAATTCACAGAAGCTGCTCAGTTTCAGGGGAAAAAAGTGGAGTCCTGCAGAATAAAACAGTAACGGATCAAGTGACCGGTCACGGAGGAAGCGCATCACCAGGCAGCAGCAGCAGCAGAACGGTACAGTTCCACCTCTCATTCACCCCCTAGTTGTGAAACCAGATCACTGTTCCACCCACCGATGTGAGGTCGGAAGTTTCTTCATTTCACAGCACGTTTGTGTCCAAAAAGGCGGCATTAGGAATTCACAGCAGAAGGCCGGCGAAGAAGCTTTTAGCGGAAGAGTACAATGTGAAACTCACCTTTCGAACCTCAGATGGAACAACGTCTCACAATATAGTGTGAGGTGTAGGTTCTGAGGGGGCGGCTGCTTTTGAAAGGGTCCCACGTCTGTGGCTTTCTAACAGGAAATGGAAGAGTTGTTGAAACTGCTTGTCTGAGACCCCGACATGTTTGAATTCACGTGCAAACGCTGCCGCACAGATTCAGTGATCAATTCTTATCTTAACCATTCTCTGGGTTTCAGTGAGCTGCCAACACTGTATACTAAACACAGCTGCGGTGTGCAGTGTGGTTAAATGGCTCTGCTATGTGTCTGAATAAAGGACCCAAACTGTGGCGTAATTAGAGACTCATTCCAACATTAGCTATTATTCAGCCATATGAA